TGGAAGGCCTCCTGCACCAATCTGGAAGCCAAAATGGGGCACCATGTGAGTCCCCCCCCGGTGCCCCATTTTAGACCCCGAAAGACTCCTCCACCAACCTGAAAGCCGAAACGGGGTGTGGGGGCATCATGCATCCCATTTTGCACCTGGAAGGCCTCCTGCACCAATCTGGAAGCCAAAATGGGGCCCGGGGGGGCCGTGCAAGCCCCCCCCCCCCCCCCGTGCCCTGTTTTGAGCGTGGAAAACCCCCTGCAGCAAATCCTGTAAGGAAGGCAGGAAGGAAACATTCTGGTGTTGTTTCTAGCCTGATCTTTATTGACCTGCTTACAGAAACTGCCTCTCCGGTTAACCCTGATTACATTGTCACAGCTAAGGCGAAGCGCCCATCGACGTGAGTGACATTGAGGTGGCCCCGCCCACCCAGTCACATGACCACCAAGCCCCGCCTACCCAGCTGGACATTAGAGCAGAGAACCGGTTGTTAAATTATTTGAATCCCACCACAGGACTACTGGCACTTAAAATGAGGAGGGATCAGGAAATCCCTTTGCTTGTATTTCTATTATCTCACACCATGGTTTATCTTGTCCTCAGATTGCTCTGTTTCCTAAACGCCCTTTACTTTTAATATCCTTTTCATGATCTAAGGCCTGCAAGCAGAAATCCACCGTTACCTGTTGTCAAATCAGATGTCTCTCTTGTTGTCTTCCCAATCCATCTAGGTAATTGAAACGAAGAATGAAATGGATTTGGACCGAGATACAGATCTAGCATACAACAGTCTGAAGGTAAAAGAAATCTCATGGGGTTTTTCCTCCCACAATGCCAGGTATCCGGTAATGGTGCTAATAACCTGCAAGAGCTTTACTTTTATCAGTCTTTTTTTAGATCTCTCTTGCAGGAGCATTCTATAATATCTGGTCATATTTTACTAACTTATAATTTTCCTTTATTTGAATTTTTTTTGGGGGGGGAGTGTTGTCTAGATTTCAACTGTTCTGAGTTGAACTATTCTTACTTCAGTTTTCTTTTGCTTTATAAGCCCCACGAAGATCATAAATCTGACAATTGGTCAGAAAGTTACATTTTCATCACTGTGAAGTGTCACTAAACAAAACAGTTGCTAAATAAGGGCTTCCTGTGTTCAACAAGGTGTACCCTTCTATTGGTTGGTATAATTGACTATGGAGTTGAATTAGGATGTGTGCATTTAGAAGGATGTTTTCCTTGGATAATATTACTAGATAGGGAAATAAAAAAAGCTTGCAAAATTACAGACAAAGCTTTCATGATAGAATAACTAGAGTTGGAAGGGACCTTGGAGGTCTTCTGGTCCAACCTCCTGCTCAAGCAGGAGACCTTAGGACATTTCAGACAAATGGCTCTCCAGTCTCTTCTTGAAAACCTTCAGTGATGGAGCATCCACAATGTATGGAGGCAAGCTTTCCCACTGTTTACCGTATTTTTCAGAGTATAAGACTCTTTTCCCTCAAAAAAGAGGCTGAAAATCTAGGTGCGTCTTATGTACTGAATACAGCATTTTTTGCCTCCCAAAACCCTGCCCCCTTCACTAAACTGGCCGTGCATAGCCTTTAGGAGGCTTACAGAGTGCTCCTGGGGGCTATGGAGGGCAGAAATGAGCGAAAAATGGGTCATTTTTTGCTCATTTTTGCCCCACCCCCCCACCCCCAGGAACACTCTACAAGCCTCCTAAAGGCTATGCAGAGTGCAAAAACTTTTTTTTTTAAATTTGCCTCTTCAAATCCTTGGTGCGTCATACTGTGAAAAATACAGTAATTGTTCTCACTGTCAGGAAATTTCTCCTTGGTTCTAGGTTGGACCTCTCTTTGATAAGATATTTAGATTTGGTTAAAAAAAATCAATAAAAAAGGTCATACCATTTTTTAAAAACACAAAATGCAACATAAAAACCTGAATATATAGAAAGATGTTGCTGTTTGGAGTTTGAAAGGGATTCTCTTCCCCCCACCCCACCCCTACCACACAGTTTTTTGTTCTGTTGGAAGAAAATTGTAAGTGGACAGGTCCAAAATCTCTATTCCAGGATTTTAGGGCCACAAGTAAGGCATAGGATCCCAAGTTATCCTAGATACTCAGTAACTCAGAATTTGATTAAATGATAGGAAGGATACCAAGTTGGTTTGGAAAAATAATAATAATTTAATTGGATCTTAGAGCTGTCCCATCTTGTTGCAGAGACCTTGAAAGAAAGTATAAAAAAGAAAAGTCACATAGCAACTCTTATCTGTTGTATTCAGCCAGAAGAACATGTTCTCCTTGACTTGTCAATTTCCTACTGTTCTTCTTAAGAAATGTTACTGCTGAATATTAACCATGCCTATAGAAATGACTGTTGCAATATCACGTAGAAAGACCTAAAGGAATTAATTAGGACTGATTAATTAATAAATTAGGCATGCATATCTCTTCAGAGCGAACAGTAAAATCCAGCCATTGCCAAAGTGAATAAAGAAACCTGAGCGTCTGCAGAGCATTTAATTCTAGGATTTATTTCTGATTTACAACCCATCAATTTGGAGCACAGCAGGGCTCTCCAATATGGAATGGGAATTAAAAAATCTACAATAAATTTAAAACTCCACCTCACAGTCTTCCTATGGAACTGGGAATCATGAATAAAAACATTAACACTAATCTATTAAAGACTCAGTCTTTTGACTCAGGAGGCTGTCACCACAATTCAACCTGCCCTATTACCAAAAATGGGAATTTTTATCTTAACTAATTAAAGTTCCTCTGGCGGACAGTTAGAGAATATGGCACCCGCCATTTTAGGAGCTTATTTTTTTAGAAACCAAATACACAAAGAAAGCTCTTTCTTTTGAAAAAAAAAGGCAGATAAGGTTCTCAGGTACGGACTCTGCTTGTATTAATCTCAAATAAATATGTCAAAAATTGTCCTAAGCGGGGGTTCCTTACTTTGCGCCGTAATGATTACAGCGGGAATTCCTGGCACGGAGATGTGATTCAGCTTTCGGTTGGCCCCCTTCCATTCGCAGCAAAAAAAAAA